GCCCCACCCTGCCAGCCCTGCCAGCGGTCCCCAGGTGGCGCTGACTCATCCCCTTCCCCATGACTCACACTCCTCAGGTTCTCCTACTCCAGTCAACAAGCAGAGACTTGGCAGCCACATCCCAGATTCTCTCACCTCCTGTGGAGAATCCGTGCATCTCATTTTCCCTCAGGGAAATCCACCCTCTTATAAAAGAGCCAACAGAGGCCTTGACAGGGAAAGCAACTGACCTACAGTCACAGAGCCAGCAAGCAGCACAGCCAGGTGGAGGCCCAGGTACCCTGGCACCCAGCCTAGTCAGTCCTTGCCTCTTTCTCACAGGATCACCCTTGCCCGGCTGCCCTCTCAAGGGCAGGTGAGAAGCAAATGAGGTAATAGGCAGAAATGTGCTTGGAGCTTAACTAGAAACACATCAGAAACTACCTTTGGATCCACTATGGCAACCAGCACTGCTCCCACTGTCCTCTTCAGACCCCCCCCCCCCCCAAGTTTAGGAGGACTCGGGATTTGCACTACTCGACCTACCTTGCAGGGCTAAGAGGGTGAAGGGGGCTGTTTCAGGGGCAGGTGCTGGGACCACGGCAAAAGCTGCACAAGCAGGTGTCAACACCACCTGTAAATAAAAAACCAAGACTCTCAGTGTCAAGGGCTCAAGGTCATCTGGTCAAATCAAAAGCGACTTCTCTCCAACCCCACTACCAGGGTCACACAGCCCCTATTTGCACACCTCCAACAATGGAGCACTCACTTCCTGCCAAGGCTTCAAGACCTACTATTGGAGAGTTTGGCTAGTTAAAAAAATTGTCATTAGGGTGTGCTAAAATCTCTCTCTCTCTTTGTGGTCACTCAGGGACAGGTCTGCCATCCTGTTTTCCAGTGGCTCTTTGGAGACTTGAAAATAATGGTCCTGGGCCCTCAGTCTTCTACAAGTTGTACAGTTCCTTTCCTCCAGCTTTTCCTGAGACCAGGGTGTCCTGTACCTTACCCTTTCCCTGATCTACTTCAAATGAATCCTGTCCCTCCCAAAATAATTTTAAATAAAAAGACCCAGAATTAGACATTCTAATGAGTTCTATCCACAGCAAGCAAGCAGAACTCTCACCTCTATCATTCCAGATATCATGCCTCTATTAATCCAGCCTAAAGTCCCATTAGCATTTAAGGCAATCCCACTGCATGAATGAATTCAGCTTATAACCCTTACAATCAACCTCAGAGCAGTGGTTGAGGGTTCCGGAGGAAGACACAAAGGTCCTTCAGTTAACTAGGTAGCTTGACCAAGTTACTGCACCTCTCTGAGTCTTAGTTTCCTTCTCTGTAAAAAACAGATTATATAAGAACCTATCCCACAGAGTCATTATAAGGATTAAATGAGATAAAATATGTCAAGGGTTTTGAACAGTGCATATATTTACTCTGGTTATTAATTAAATCCTAAGTCTTTTTCTAGAAACTGTATCTTTCTCATCCTGTATTATTATTAATTAAATCCTAAGTCTTTTTCTAGAAACTATCTTTCTTATCAGGGACCCATGTTGCTTACCTGCCATAATCCTTCCTGTATGGCTAAGTATCATTCTATTCTTGCAAGACTGTGTTATCAGTACCTGGTGACAGGTCTTTCTCTGCCATCAGGCAGACTGTGAGCTCTGTCAGACTGCTTTGCCTCTGAAGCTTCGGCACTGGCACATGACCTGGCAAACTGCAGACCACTGGCTATATGCTAGGTGACTGAATGAAGGACCAGACTATGTGGGTTCTAGGGTTGTGCAGCCCAGCCTTCCAGTCCCTCCTTCTACCCCCCAAAACACACACACACACACACCTTTTAGGGACAACTTCACGCCCCACAGTCCCAATCATCTGCATCCAGGGACAGCTAAGTAAGCTGGCTCCTGCCTACACTGGAAAAATTCCTGCCCAAACCAACTTCTCCACGCCAAAGAGAGAGCCCACGTTCCCAAATGGAGCAAGACCCTACAGGCTCCTGGGATTCAGACACAAAAGGGGCCCTGTTCTCAGCTGACATTAAATGGCCCAGACATTCCTGATGGATTTCTGCATTGTGAGTGGCACGGGTGCACAGCAGGGGATCTGGAAGGAAGCTGGACCCTTATCTGGGTCCTAGGGTGAGTGTTAAATGCCACCTCTGTGGGCTTTCCGTGGAGGACAGATCAAAGCAGAGATGGGTTTTGTTGTTCCTGCCAATGATTAATGATCTTTCACTTTCCGTTAACTCTGTGAGAGAATGAGACTTTCAAATCCAGCTCCCCTCTTTTCTACAAACCTCCAAGTCACACCTTCATCCTCACTGGTGGTGCTACATTTATTCCCAAGTGCATCCTGCTCCTCTCCCAGTGCCTCCCAGCTCAGCAGCAGCACCACCACCCACCACTCACACCAGGCCAGACACCAGGGCACTGCTCTTCTCAACCTCCCCTTCTCTGTCACTCTTGCCTCCAACACCATTGAGTCCTTGCATCCTCTTATCCCCCTCCTCCTCTCAACTGCCAACATCTTCATCTAATTACTATTACCTCTCACCTAGATGACTGCAATGCTTCATAACTGGTCCTCCCACTTCCTCTCTCCTTCCCTAAGTGTAATCTCCTCAGAGCAAGCCCAGACCATGTCACTCCTTGGCTCAGATTCCACCATGGCTCCCTATGGCCCCCAGATAGCCCAAGATCCTTAACACACTATTCGACATCATTTATGATCTTCCCCCTGCCCCCACCATAGCCCTGGAGCCTCAGCTCTCACCAGTTCCTGTCTCCCCACTAGCCCTATACACACCCACACACACACATACACACACCCAAGCTCCAGCCAGACAGCTGCACTGTTCCTTAAGTCCTCGTCTAATCATATAGACCACTTCCCCTGTTTCGGAACTCCTTCTTCTTTTCTTCTTCCACTTTGATCAAGCCCAGCTTTCCTCCCGGAAATCTTCTTGGATTCCCCTTCCCCTTAGAAGCTGAGCTCATCTGAGATCCCACAGGCCTCTTGTCTTCCCTGTCATACTGTATTATGATCTGTTTCCAAGTCAGCCTCCCCCATTAGACTAAGATTTGCTCCCTTGTATCCCAACACTTAACCTAGGGCTGGGGCCACAACAGCTCAAGATTCACTAAAGGAAGAAACCAGTGAATCACGTGTGTAAACACACTCATGCACACCTTCACATAGAACTGGCTACGAGTGCAGGTGCTGCCATCTATAGGCTAAAAGAGTATTGCACTCTTTTCTAGGATTTGGGCACAGGGAGCCCCAGAGTTTTAAAACTGGCTGGGTTTAGAATTAGAATTAGCCCCAGCTAACTACAAGTTGGTCTGTTTTCTATTTTGGACTTAAAGCTGCAGCAACTTAAAAACAAGGTCCACAAACCGCTGACTCTAGTCCATCGCCCACACACCCCAGACAGAGCCATAAAGAGAGGCGGCTCCTTCCAGCATTCAGATCCCAGCCCAGGCTTGCTAAGTGGCTGTTTGATGAATTACATCTAGAGCATAGGGAGAGGAGGCACTTTCTAACAGTCAGAGCTGCCCACCAGTGTAAAGGCTGATCTTCAGGTAAAGAGCTCCCCATTAGTGAAAGTATGCAAGCTCCCAGGAACCCCATCTGTCTAGAAGGTGACTGCAGAGGAGCTTTCTGCCCTGGGGTGTAGGGTAGGGGTGATTGGACAGAAGTGTTTTTCTCCTAAAAGGACCTTCAGATTTGGTGGGAGAAACATGGTATCTGACCAATAAAGCCAGAAGGGTTCAAATGGCCACCCAGAGAGTACAGTTAGCATTTTCTGATCACGTGCCAAGTGTTAAACTCTGACATACATTATCTCTCATCCTCACAATAACTCTGCCAGGCAATATCATTGTCCCCATGTTGTGAAGGATGGACAAAGCTCAGAGAAGTGAAATTATGTGCTGGCAGTCACACTGCTAAGGTCTGGGCGAAAGTTCCTACCAAGTCAGGCTCCCTGCCCTACATCTTGGTCTCACTAAATTTCAAGATGTGAGGCTGGGCCTCTTGCTCACTAAAGAAAAACATAAAGCTGTGGTTACTTCAGATCAGGGGTTAGCAAACTTTTATTGTAAATATTTTAGGCTTTGCAGGCCCCATCCCTTCTCTTTTGCATATTCTTCCTGGTTTGGGTTTGGGTTTTTATTTTGTGTATATTTTTTAACAACCTTTTGAAAATGTAAAAAAAAACATTCAGCTCAGAGGTATGCAAAAACAATTTAGGGGCTCCCCAGGGCTATAGTTTGCAATCTATAGGTTGAAATTGCTGTTTACAGTCTTAAATATAAAAACTTCAGGTGGAAATGTTTAAGCCAAATGCTAGGTCCTACAGCTGTATTCCCTCCCACCCCCAACCCCCTCAGATGGCTTCCCATTGAGTCACGCTCTCATAGAGAAGAGCTGGCCCTACTTTGCTGCGATACTAGGCAGCAAAATATTTCAAGGGCTGTTCAGATTCTAGAAACTCATAGCTGTGGACCAAATAGTTCAACTCAGTGTTTGGGAAGAGAAGAGAGAGGTACATACAATGGGTGGGAAGAGCCTTAAAGATAAGACATTAAGAGATCTAGGGCCCTAGCTGGTTTGGCTCAGTGGTCAGTCTGCGGACTGAAGGGTGCCAGGTTCAATTCTGGTCAAGGGTACATGCCCGGATCGGGAGTGCAAGAGGCAGCTGATCAGTGATTCTCTCTCATCATTGATGTTTCTATCTCTCTATTTCTCTCTGAAATCAATAAAAATACATATTTAAAAAAAGAAGAAAAAGTAAGGTCACTATCTTAAAGAAAGAGAGACAGACAGACAGACAGACAGACAGAGACAGAGAGAGACAGAGAAAGAGAGAGAGAGAGAGATTTGTGATCTTGTCTGAGCCTTGAACAGGGATTTAGCTCTTCCTGTGCAAAGTGAAAAGAAACTGTGGTTTTGGTTGTGTGCTTCAGAAAACTCACTTGCCATCTCTGAGCCTGAGGATCCCCAGCCATGGCCAAGTGATTCCCAACATCCAAACTCTAAAGATTGGAGCCTGGAAACTATTTTGAGGTGAGAATGGAGTCAGGAGATTGGTCTTCAGCTGAGTGTCACCACTATTACAACAAATTCAAGGCGACACAAAATCAAGCCCTTCTGTTCTAAGCATAGAGGTAGAGCAGTGACCTGGTTGAAGCTCATGGTCTTATGGCAAGTGCCAAGCCGAAACTAGAATGAGAACCAGCATCTCTCTACCTCTTCAGCCTGGATCTTAACCATTATAGTTTACTGATGCTGAAATGTGCAAATGTATTTCTGTAAATGGTCCCTGAGCTAGAATTTTAAAAATATATATATTTTATTGATTTTGTACAGAGAGGAAAAGAGAGAGATAGCGAGTGAGAAACATCGATGAGAGAGAGTCATCAATCAGCTGCCTCTTGCACACCCCCTACTGGGGATGTGCCCGCAACCAAGGTACATGCACTTGACCAGAATCGAACCGGGACCCTTCAGTCCCCAAGCCGACGCTCTATCCACTGAGCCAAACCGGTTTTGGCCATGAGCTAGAATTTTGATAACCAGCTTCAGAGGCTCCCACAAAGACCATCACCCTCATGCATGGCTGATGGGAATAAAAATAGCTGCAACCTTTCTGGGCACCAATTTGGCAAAATGTAACAAAACCTGTAAAATACATCATTTTGACCCAGAAACTCCAATTCTTGGCTACCCTTCTAAGAAATAATGAAAAAAATAATAATGTATATGTTCATTACAGCATTGTTTATAAACAGGCTAATAAATTCCTAATGATAGAGGGTCAGTTAACTGAACCATAGTATATTCACTTCTTAAAAATAATTATAGAGTGATTAGTCAGATCAGCACATATTTTCATAATAAAGAAGTAAAACCTGATTTTTTTTTTTTATAAATAAAATGCATAATTTCACTTCTTTAATTCCCCAGACTATTGGAACAAAATATTTAAAATAGCAATAGACATGCATTTATCTAATTATGTTATAGTATACTTTTAAAACTTCTTTAAAAATTAAATTTAGAACCCTAGCCAGTTTGGCTCAGTGGATAGAGCTGACTGGAGTCCCAGATTCTATTCCGGTCAAAGTCAAGTATCTCAGTTGCAGGCTCAATCCCTGGCCTTGGTTGGATGTATGCAGAAAGCAACCAATCAATGTGTCTCTCTCACATGGGTGTTTTTCTCTATCTGTCTCTCCCCCTCCCTACCACTCTCTCTAAAAATCAATGGAAAAATATCCTCGGTGAGGATTAACAACAAAATTAAACTTACAGTCCTGAAAAATATGAGAAAATATTTATGTTATACTGTTGAAACAAAAAACCAGAATAGAAAATTATAAATGTGGTATGACCACAGTTAAGTGAGGGTAAAAAAAAGTACTGAAAATATCAGGAAGGAAATGTGCCCAAATGTTAGCAGTGATTATCTCTGGTTGGCAGAATTATAGACAGTTCTTACTTTTTATACTTTTTTATTTTCCAAATTTCCTATCATCAACATTTGTTATAATTATAATAGAAAAAAGAAAAAAAAGGTTCTTGGAAGAAGGGAGAAAAAATCGCCCCATATTCCATGGGTATCCCACCCGTAGCACTTTGCTACTCCCAAAAAATTAACTAGTATTTACCCAGTACCTACCAAAGGCCCAGCCCAGCCACAGTCGCTATGGAAGGAAATGAAGAGCCAGGCTCCACCTTGAAAGCTTACACATATATCATAAAAATTTTCTTTGCTTGGCAAATAAACTGGTCCCACATGATACCCTTGCTGAGGCTGGAAAGTAATAAAGCTGTTTGCTCAACAGCAGAATCAACAAACCCATTCCCACTGGTGTGGTGCCTTCATCAGAGTTCCCTCAGAGACACCATGGCTCAAACCATTTCTGGAGTCCCTTTGGGAATAGAACATGTCAGGAATGCTTTACAGCCCAGGAAGAAAACTGCTATCCCTTGGTCCAAGCATTGAAAGCAAGAGGCACAGAGGCGCCTTCTGAGGCAGAAAACGCAAGGCAGCCGGCAGGAGTTGGATGGAGGGCCCAGGGAGGAACCTAACTGGCCATGTGGCCTGGGCAAGAGAACTCCTATCTCCGGGCCTCAATTTTCTCACCTGTAAAATGGGCCCACAAAGACAACCTCAGGACTCTTATGAGGCTCAAAGAAGAAAAAATAAACCATTTCTCTAGGCCAAGCCCCAGTTTCCTCATCTGTAAGACGGAGCCATTATCACCTCTTTAACAGGGCTGTTAAAAGGTTAAACAAGACAGTATGACAAAAGGTGAGAGCACACAGTCAGCATGCTACATACATATGATGGCTATGATTCTTATTGCTTGTAGAACAGGGAATAGAATACATAAAGGAATCAGGCCTCAACTTATTTATCTGCAAAATAGGGCAACCAGTTCAGTCCACAAAGACCAAATTCATGAATAGTGGTCGACTCTCCAGCTGGCACTGGCACAAGTAACTTAAACACAGACAGCTGCTGTGGGCTCACTTTGTGCTCCCGGAGGCGCAGGTCCCATGTTCCTGCACTGAGCAAAAAAGCCCTCTGACTCAAGGCCACCTGGACCCAGAAAGCCTGACATTACCCTGTCCACCCCCACTAGTGCAGAGTGAACACTGAGGCCAGAGAAAGGTATCGATTAGCACAGATCACCCCGTGCTTTGTCGGTGGCAAAACCAGGACCATGCTCACGCTTTTCTCTGCCCTGCCCTTACGTTGCTAATGTGGCCCCAGGCAAACGGCAGAATGAGGAAGAAGGGGGAAGCCCCAGAGCAGCAGGAACCCAGCCTGGCTGTGGTCTCCAAACTCACAAACCACATCAGGCTGAAATATGACACACGCTCACGTACTTGAAAGAGAGGAGATATTTTTACTTAACATCCCCCAGCTGCCTAAACACTGGTCTCTTTCTTTCCCTCCCCCCAAAAATGCATAACTCCTGGGACCTGCTTCTTCCTGCTTCTGCAGGCATTTTTTTTCAGGGAATAACTGTGGGGCACGGATTGGGGGCTTTCGCTTTTCCTGGCTTTCCCAGAAAGCTTTCCAGAACATGGGCTCAAATGGTAAAGGGACAGCCGACTGGTCCTTGCTGGGTTCCCAACTCAACAGGTGACCTTGGGCAAGTCTTGCCTTGTCTGAAATACAGGAAAAAGTGAGCTGGAGTCCTCTTGATAGTACGGAAAAGTGTTTACAAACAGCCCTGGAGGCCCCTCCAGGCCTCTCTGCTTCAGGACTGAATATCCCAAGCCATGCACACTGGCTCATGTTCATTGTCACAGCCACAACAAATCTCCCCCATCAGTGCTCATGTCAGAACGAGATGGAACTTTCTGGAGAATGTCTGCAGTGATTAAGATCTCTGGCTCGCTCATCAGACCGCTGGAGTCCTGCTCCACAACCCAAAGCACATTATTTAGCCTCTCCAAGGGGAATAGTAATATCAAGTTCAGAGGAATGGTTGTGAGGAATCAATAAAGTAATTAATGTCCCAGAGATTGGTATTCTAAAAGGCAGCTTTCTATGATTATGATACAGATCAATGCGCGACTCCCCATTTTACAGAGAGCCAGGACTTGTCCAAGTTCACTCAGAAGAATTAACAGTGTGGCTCCACCCCCAAGTCAGTGCTTTTAACTTCTCTCAGTCCTACAGTCTTGAATAAGAATATTTACACCCTTAGAGATTATAGGGTTAGGCTGTAAAGTTGCTTGAAGAAAGTCAAAGACCAAAGCTTCAGCCAAGGACTACAGACCATGCATAAATCATCTCTATGACTTGGCAATTTCTCCTGAAAGACCCAAACTGCTCACACAGATGGAGCAGGGGGAAGTGACCTACTGACACTGGATGGCCAAGACGTTGTGAAGGCAGCCAATCAACAGCTCTTGCTTATGATAGTTTGGCACAAGTGCACACACAGCTGTTAACAGTAGCTACCTCTGAGGAAAAAGGGGGTTTGGAGAGATGAAAGTCACTCTATACTCTTCTCCGTGTTTGAATCTTTAATGATATAAATTTGCTTAAAAACGAATTTATATTAATGATATAAATTTGCTTTAAAAAGAACACAGCAAAACTCAGAATAATTTAGCAGCTTCATTCAATAGGTATAAGCCTGTTGTCTGCTCTTAGATGAAATTTATGGCAAGTTTGGAGATCTTCAGCTGGGCTTTTAGAACCTGCCACTCTTGCCAAAACCGGTTTGGCTCAGTGGTAGAGTGTCGGTCTGCGGACTGAAAGGTCCCAGGTTCGATTCCAGTCAAGGGCATGTACATTGGTTGTGGGCACATCCCCAGTAGGGGATGTGCAAGAGGCAGCTGGTCAATGTTTCTCTCTCATCGGCGTTTCTAGCTCTCTCTCTCTCTCCCTTCCTCTCTGTAAAAAGTCAATAAAAATATATAGAATCTGCCACTCTGATCCATCCTGGGGCCATTCCTCTGGTTCAGACCTGGCTTCTCTTTCATTGGTCTTGCTGGGTTCCCAACTCAACAGGTGACCTTGGGCAAGTCTTGACCATGTGACACCCTGCTGGGGTCTCCCTAACTCCAATCTAGCCTCTTCCAATGCATCTCCTACCATCAGCCACCAGATTGAGAGTTTTTAATCTTTGCTCTAGCCAAAATCGTTTCTCAAATCCTCATTGTCTTTAAAATAAAGTCTAAACCCTTAGATTACAATTAAGTTCCATCTTTACTTAGTCTCAACTCCCATCACTCTACCCTTCCCCCATCCTCCATTATAGCCAAGTGGATTGCTCAGAAAACCTCCGTGCCTTTGTACAAGCTGTTCCTGTTTCTTAAAATGTCTTTCCCCTCAATCTTTTTATCTCCTGCGATACTATTACTCATTTCTGAGGCCTGGGTCACCCAGACATAGTCACTCCTCTTACAGACTATCAGTGTCCCATGACTGTGTCGACCACTCTAGATGGGAAGTATCTTGGGGATAGAGAGCTCTGTCCTCCTCAAGGGTTCTTGGGCCCCCACAGGACAAGGCACTATACTCAAGAGTACTGAATCAAGGAAGCAGGGAGGAAGGAAATGCCATGAGAGGCAAACCCTACAGCCTCCCTTCCAGGGAGCTGCCTGCTTTCCAAGTTCACATTATTCCATAATAAAAAAAAGACTATGGAAAATTCTGGAGTAAAGTTTCCTTCCCTGATTCACAGGGAAACCTTCTTTGCTGCTGTATAACTCACGCCAGTGCCAACTCAAGCTCCTCCGGCTGTTTTCAATTTCTCTGACATTTATAAATAGTGAGGCCTCAGAAAAGAAAATGGAGTCTCAAGGGAGCTGGATGCCCACAGTCTCTTCTCCTTCTCTTCCTCCCCTGTTCTAAGCCTCTTCCTCTTAACATCCCCAATACACCAACCAGCACCTCCAAGTGTGTATAAAGGTGGAGGGGAAGTACTTGGTCCCTTAATGAATGGAAATTAAAAAAAAAAAAAAAAGAGTCTAAGACCCAGTGGGGGTGGCTCAGTTGGTTGAGTGTAGTCGTGCACCAAAAGGTTGCTGGTTTGATTCTTGGTCAGAGCACATACCTGGGCTACAGAAGGCAACTGATCGATGTTGCTCTCTCACATTGATGTCTCTCTCTCTCCCCATCCCCCGAGACTCTCTCTCTTCCTTCTCTAAGCATATCCTTGGTGAGGATTAAAAAAATCAAAAACTATTAAAGAGAGAGGGTTGGGGGAGGGAGGGAAGAGTCTAAGGTACCACCAGCTAGAGGGAGTCACCTGAGGGCCCACTGGAACTGGGTCCCAGCCCTGCCCCTCCCTCTCTTTGTGACTATGAGTCTGTCACCAACTCTCCGCGCCCTTCCAGTTCTGTCAGCTATAGCATGGGGCTGTGGTCAGACTTCAGCAAGCTATGCGCACTCTAAAGTACAGTGTAGGAAAAGGTCGCGGTGCCCTGGTCAAAATGTGATCCTGAGATAACAGGATGTGCAGGACGGAGTCTTTGAGAAGTCCTCCAGGCCAAACAAAAGCAGAACTTCCCCCAGCAGCCCTGCCTTCTGCTCTGAGGTAGATGCCTGGGCAGAAGAGGGACTACAGAAGATGTCCCAAAGCTTCCAAGGACCCAGGCTTGCCCTTAGGCATGGCCCAGAGGTCTGGGGACCCAGGGAGAAAGGGAGATTCCAATCACTCCCTTCAATTTTGAAAGAAGTTTGCCTGTGAGTCAGGGAAAGGAACAAGTTTTGTAGCACTGAGAAGACCACACCTACTGGTAGCAAGTGCAAGAAGACTTCCCACGAGGACAAGGAAAACTTTCTAACAGTGCTGGGTCCAGAACGAGAAGGAGGTGGGAGGCTCCTCACCACCCAGGACGAGCGAGCAAAGGCGTTATATTACCCTGGAGTCAAGAATACGTGGAGCAGGCTCCCCAGCGGAGCCACCGCCCAGACCTCGGGCGAGCGATTACCTGCAAGCCCCGGTCGTGTACACCGAGTGCCTTGCCGAGGTAGCCCTGGGCTCAGTTCCACCAGCCGCGGGGGCGGGGTCGATGTTGGCAGCACTGCGGGGCCTGTGGGTGAGGCCAAATCCCCTCCTCCCCTGCCTAACCCCCCAACCCAAACCTCCTTGGTCCTCTGGAAGACAAGCTAGGTGAAAGAGAAAGTCCTTTTCCAGCGTTGCCCCCGCCGCCCAAGGTCCAGGCGCTAGACCGGGAGGGGAGCTCTAGACCGGAATGGGAGTTGGAGGGAGTGGCGGGGGGGGGGGGGGGGGGGGGGGGGGGGGGGGGGGGGGGGGGGGGGGAGAAGAAAGAGTGAGAGGGGGAAAGAAGAACCCATAGGACTGAGATCTCCAGCTGACCAGATCCCCAGATGCCCCGGATCGTAGCCGCCCCCTTCCCCTACCTGCGGCTGCGGCGCTGGCGACGGCGGCTGCAGGGTCCAGCTGTGCTCAGCTGGTTCCGGGAGGGCCGGGCGAGAGCTTGCGGTCGGTGGGCCGGGATGGGCAGGGCGCTGGCCGGAGCCGCCTTCAGGGCGGGGCGGCCGGGGTAGAGGTGTAGGGGGGAAGGGAGGGGGCAGGAGCGCCGGCCCCTCCCCTAGGCTGCCCGGAGAGTGGCGACACTGCCTTCCACTGCCTCCGGGCTAACCTTCTGTCTCCAGACCAACCCTCGCTACTTGCCCAGGAAGGACACAAGCTCCCAGCTTTAGATGCGAGGAAACTGAGGCCCGGAGCACTCCAGGCACAGCTGCTGGAGCTTGGAGGGGGGGCGGAGCGACTGGGCTGGGCTGGAGTCTGAAAGCTCAGTTGGGATGGGCAGCGTGCCATGTTCCACTAGGACCAGCGGAGGCTTATTTCAGCTCCCGCGAGGTCCTACTTCCCAGGCACAGTCTTTCGTGGGTGAAATGAGCTACTCACACAAGCAGACAAGCAGCAGCTAGACCCGCTGAAGGGAATAAATGCGAAGGATGATTCCCAGCTTCATTCAGAGAGAAGAAACAGGAAATGGCAAATTGCAGCCCTGTCCTTAAGTTAAAACAGGGAGCAGAGCTTCGCAGTCAGGCCGCCTGGGTTGCAACTCCTGTCCCTAGTCCGTAACTGGTGACTTAACATGTCAAAGTCTCAGTGTCCTCTCTGTAAAATTGCGATTTCATGGGGCTGTTGGGAAGACTCAGCGAGAGAAGGACTCAGCACAATGGCGGGTACTGTGAGTTCTCTATAAATGGAAGTTCTTGTTAGTGTGAAGGCAGATATTATTTTAGGTGGTTAAGCAAATCCACAGTTAGAAAGATGAATGCAAGGCAATGCAAACAAGCGTAATATTTTATTTATCTCAAAGCACGTCACATGCGTTTGAGAGATTGCCATTTAGGATGGAGCAGGACTACAGTCCTGGTGCAAATGTGGGTTCCCAGGCCTCCTGCAGCTGCTCTGGGGCTCCAAGTCAGGAGACTCTCACAACAGGAGACTGGACCAGATGACCAAGATGTCCACTCCCAGCATAGGTGCTGGCACCAGTCTCATGTTCGGGTTGGTTAAATCTCCCTCTAACACCAGGTAACTGTCAGGCTGGGAATGAGAGCAGAAACGTAAAGAGGACAAGAGCAGAGTTCCTGGATTTTCCATTGAGTAGCAGCCAGGGAAGCAGAGGGCCTGGGGAATCCCAGCCTGGCTCTTCCTCCTGACCCTTCTCTTTGTACAACACTTGGAATTACAGGAACCATTTCTTGAACACCTGGTCCATTATCTAGGCTTCCCAGGTGCTACCCACTTCCCACCTCACTTCCCTACCCCTGCCCCCAGCATATACACACAAGGTAGGCATTACCAGGTGCAGTTTTGAGACAGGGAAGCTAAGGCATAGAGAGGTTTGAATAGCTCTCCCGAGCACACAAATGATACCACACAGACTGTCTTTGGCCCTCTCTCCTTTGCTCAATGTCCTGTGTCATATTCTGCCACCCTTCCTGACTTGGGAAACTCTGCCCAGTTCTACCTTCTCCCATAACTGAAGCAGGATGCCCGACTTCAGGGAGGCTCACACCCTCTTAGCCATCCCTGCTTTTTCCAGACTCCTGGTGCCCACTGTGGGGTAGGTGGGGAGAAAAGCAGAAATGCAGTCTGTTTTGGCTTTGAGCTCTTTGATTACAACTTCCAGCATACACATGTCCTGTTATTATCTAACATATCATTTCCAACCCTGGCAACTTCTCTCAGGCCCAGAGAGGTTAACCTCTGAATCTCTGTGTCCACTGAACTGGAGAAGGTCATATTGGATGGAAGGGACACTGGAGAACATCTGGCCCAACCCCTCAATGTAGAAATGGGGAAACCCAGGCCTAGAGAGCAGAGACTTGCACCCATAACTCTGTGATTGCTCCATTTTGTACTGGAAAAGCCCATAAACCTAGGCTATTACCAGAAATAATTTAAAATGATGATGATGATAACCAATATTTATACTAGAGAGCCACCCAAATGCCTAGTGTTTTGCTTTGCATACATCAACACATGCGTTTCACAGGTGGTCAAGCTGAATCTTGGTCTGACTTTTCAGTCAAGGTAAAATCTGCCTTGCACGGATGCTTAGACGTGCCCTCTGCCTTGGTGTCTTATTCTCATTTCTTTCTAAATTCCTTTTTGTACTTCTCCTGCCTTGGGTCTAGGTCTCCGTGAAGCCTCTTTGCCCTGAATCTTCACCTTCAGAGTGAATGTCTTCTGGTCCTTGCGGATATGGATCTCCTCTCGTAAAAGAATTCCGATGCATCCTTTTATCAGAAGTCCACCTACTCCCCAAGAATGAGGAGTTGGGAAATAAAGGCCATACCCAGGCCATGCAGTAGACAATTTGGCGCTGGCTAGTCCCTCTTCTGAGAAGGCCTCTCCCCATCCACAGGGGTGACCCTTGCTAGGCACCCAAGTTAGTACTATAAATTCCACCCACCCAAACACTGTGGACAGTGTTAAGAAAAGTTACCAGAACCAAGCTGGGTTATCAGAATTTGGGGTTAGAGTTTGGGACATAACCATTTTGGCTAATTAACTAGCCTGGTGAGGACTGGTTATCTCTGAAGGCTAACTTCACCATTTGAGGCGGCCATATTCCACAGAGAAAGCCAACGAGACCCTCATCAAGTGGCTAGATGGGTGTGGAGAAACTCAGAGTGGAGAAGGCCAGGCTAGCCAGAGAAGACTTCTGGACTTGTGAGGCTTTTTTGGCTAAGTATTCATTGAGCATCGAATGCCTTATAGCAAGTTCTTAGAAGTAGAGCACAAAATGGAAAATTTGTGCCAAGGATTAATTGAGAGGGTGCTCTCAGGAGATCCTGGAATATCCCCAGGAGCCCTAGGGCAGGGATACAGTGGGTCCCGGGGTCAGACCAGAAGCAGGATCCGAGTACTAATGGAAATTGGGGAGGTATTCTCACCTCCATCTTTCACTGCTGCCCATCTTATTGCTCTGTGTCTCTTCAGACAAGCATTTCTGCTTTCAGTGAGCTAAAATCTCTGTCTGTGACCCATAGCTAACTTGGGTCAGATGCCTACCTTTTATCCAATTGACTCTAGCCAGAAAGACAGGGTCCCACTGCACAAACCTGGCTGCTCCCACTGTAACCTGTGGATGGAGAGAAAGAGGGGGGTGGGAGAGAAGGCCAGGCAGAAAATACAGCTTCACTAAGCAGAAGGACACATCTGCCTTGAAAGGATGGAAAGAATAAGAATGGAGGTGAGGAACAGGATGGCATCTGCTAAGGGCACAGAACAAGCAAAGGTGCAGTGGCTGGAGGAAGACAAGCCTGGAAGAAGGGAAGGAGTCTTTTATTGGCTCCAGCCTCCGTCCCTTCAGTGGTGTGCTAGAATCAGCTTGCAAGAGCTGGTTGTTAAATTTCCAGGAATTTTGATAGCTACTTATTAAACACTGCTTCAGTAAAAATTAATTTATATAAACTTATAATTAAACTAGAGGCCTGGTATATGAAATTTGTGCATTTGGAGGGGGAGGTCCCCCTCAGCCCGGCCTGTGCCCTCCCGCAATCTGGGAGCCCTCAGGGGATGTCCAACTGATGGTTTAGGCCTGATCCCCATTATATTACCTATTCACCTATATAGTGGAAATAGTATATAATTGTGTACTATTGCACATAACTTCCCAATTCCACATTCAGTAACATCACACTGGTAATCTGAAATCAGCCATGGTGGGAGAAATCAGCAAAGGCTGCAAATTGAGACTTCCCTTCTCCCTGATCCCAGAGCCAGCTGTTTAACATTTACCAGCACACCTTGGGTTCCCTCATTTACCTTGGGTTCCCTCATTCATCCCTCTACATTGAGTGCCTGTTTATGTGTATCTCTCCCTCAGTGGTTGGGAGCTCAAAAGAAGAAAAAAGTGGTTGCTTGGTTTTCTAATATATCCCCAGTGTCACAGAACAGAGGATTAGCAAATTTTTATTGAGTTAATTAAGCAGTAAATGAGGGAAATGGGAAATGAATTTGGGATGCATCAGGAGGACTCAGCAGAGGGTTGTGCTTTGAATTCCAAGAGCTGCCAATTCTAACGTCTTCTGAGTCCATGGGCAGGAATATTTTAATGATAACTTAGAGTACTGGTTCCATGTGATCACTGTCAGCTCAGCTCCAAAACCCACAGTTGAACTTCCGCTGGATCCTTGGCAGGCACAATTCTGTACCTGTGCCCCATCAACGCCAGCATCAGCCTGAGCAAGGTCACTGTTTCTCTTATCCAGCAGCAAATCTCCCTTCCATCCACCTCCCAGCTTAGAATTTAAAGGAAGTAGCAAAAGCACCTAGATGTCCTTTCTCCTTCTACCAGGCCTGACACTGCTGTCCGAAGCTGCACACAGGTGGTCCTGGGACAGTGGCACTCATCATAATAGCAACTAAAATTGTAATTATAGCTACTACTTTTTAGGCACTTATTATATGCTCGCTGCATTATTATTTCAATTAAGCCTTACAGCTGTCATTCAGGTGAGGTATAATTATCTTAAATTTTTCAAATAAACAGGCTCAGAAAAGATAAGTAGCCTGAGTAAGCCTCTAGAGCTGGGTGAGTGGTAAACTGGGATTTGAACCCAGGTCTGTCAGCAAAGCCCAGCTTCTTTCAACATGAAAGAAAGTCAAGGGGAAGGGAGGTCTTTTCCATGCCTCCTATTCAGGATCAGGAATTATTTCATTTCATCTGGACAATGTTAGGGCTTGAGGTTAGCCCCTTCTCTGTACACTTGATATACTGCTTCATGACAAGTCACTGTCTCTTTATATGGAAGTGATTTGGAGTTGCTTGAGAAATGTAGACTTATTTTAAGAAAGACTGTAAATGCCTCTGCTGTAGAAATAAAAAGTAACTCATAAAACCCCTGGAATACATATCAAAAAGATCTTGGAGGCAGTGCTATTTTTGTATTCTTTCAAACTGTACCCACAAAAGGAGTTTATATTTTCTGTTTTTTCCTTACTATTATTTACTTATTGCTTTTCTGAGTACCAGCTAT